GCCCGGCGCCGCCGGCCGGGGAGGCTGCGGGAGGTCGCGGGGCGTGGGCCCGGGAGGCTCGGCGCGGGGTGCGGCCCCTCCCGACCTTCCTGCCTTCTTCCTGCGGCCCCAAAGCCCCGTGTGTTAGGTGTCGGTGCACAAGCCAACACCAGCGTCAGGCCACCGTGGCGCTGACAGCGACAGACGAGGAAGAAAAAGTACCACGTAGGAATACGAAGTTGATGGTCTGAAATGGAAACCCCAGTCTAATTTGCAATTAAAAAAAAAAAAAGTACAGGATAGACCATGTCAGCGCCGGGAGGGACCAGACTGCAAAGGAGAAGGTTGGGGGAGGGGAGGAGTTACGATTTGCAATAAGCCTGGGTTTTCTTTGAGCTTCCGTTCTAGCGACTAAATTCGAATTCTAGAGTGGAATTCTAGAATCGAGCGGAGGGTGCGGAGAGAGGGGAGGATGAGTCTCTCCGGCATAGGTACACAATCTGCCAGGTGATGGTGAGAGAGAAAGGAAGGGCAGGGGGAGAGAGTGGGGGGTGAGCTATGCGTTATAATGGAGCCCCGTGATTCATTCATTCATGCGTGCACTAGTTCAACAGCTGGTTACAGAGCCCTTCCTGTGGACCGGGCCCTGTGCCAGGTTCAGGGACAGTGATGTCTTCCCCTGGTAGTCTCTGTCCAGTGGGGAAGGCAGAATGGATCAGATAGTCCCACACATGAATATGGAAGCGGAGAAGTGTGCCTGGAGAGGGGAGCAAGGCTCCCCTGAGGATGCAAGGTGGGCCCTACCTTTACCCACAGATTCTTTCAGACACACACAGGGAACCAGACGCTGGGCACCACGGAGTCCCTGTGTGCATACAAACTGTTAGACACTCCGTTACTCACTCAATAGTTGGCGGTCAGTGGTTCGATTGTCTTCTGAAAGACCACACACAGCCTTGAGCCCAGAGGGTCACCATGTGTCCAAATCAACTGAATGACAACGTGGCAGGGGTGGGGGCTGGGGTGAACCCCTTCCCTGGAGGAGAGAGACCAAAAGCAAGCCATGGTACCCCCCAATGTGAGGTCTCTCCTCCCTCTCACCCTTGTTTTCTTGATGCAAGGTTTTTTCCCCATAGAGTAGCTGATGTTATCCATTTAATCTCTCTTACCTGTCCAGACCTCACCACCACTCGCTCCAGAATCCTTGCCCAAGCCACCCTCATCCCACCCCCCAAACCCTCTGCACATACACACACAGACAGAGCGCACCCTTTTTCTTGGTCTCCCTGCTCCCCAGCCTTGCTCCCACGGTCCTTTCTCCTCACAGCGTCCGGAGCAATCTTCATGTTTTGTACACAGTAGACGCTCAGTAAACACTTGCCATGACTCCCCCAGTCATCTCGCTTCCTCTCTCCTCCCTTTAGTGTTCTGCACAGCACTTAGCACAGCCGATACATCGCACGGTTATTTGTTGATGTGCTCGCTGTCCCCCCACCTCCACTGGAATCTGGAATTCTGTTCTGGAATACGTAGATGGATCAATGAGCTGAAGGGCTATGTAAAATCACAACAACCCTTCCCCTACCACACACACACATGATCCCTCTCATTTGTTTCAATCTTCCCAAGGACTTCGTCTGGCTTTAGACTAAAGCCTACATATCCTATGGGAGTTTTATGAGGTTTCGCTGCCCTGATTCCACGCAGGCTCCTTCCTGGGGATCTGTGGGGCCCTGGTGGGCAGACAGACGATGAGAGCGGTGCCTTTGAAAGCTGAGAGCATTTCGGCTCTGTGAGTGGTGCGAAGGAATGGGCATCCTGACGGCATGGAGAGACGAAGGTAGGCCTCTGTGAGGGGGTGACATTTGAACTGGGGTGTGGGGGTGGGTGGGGAAGAAAAGTCATCCATGGGAAGAATTGGGGAAGGGCATTTAAAACCAAGGGAACAACAGGTACAAAGGCCCTGCGGAGTAGGGGCTGAACCACACTGTAGGAACATCAAGGTGGCCCTGGAGAGGGCTGGAACTGTGAGCAGGCAGGAAGGTAGGGGGGAGATGTGGCAGTGGTGGGGTGCAGATAATTGGGGGCTTGTGCACTGTGGTGTGGGCTTTGGCTTTTACTCTGAGTGAAGTAGGGGGAAGGATTCAGTTGAGAGTGGTTGAGGGTGCATTCAGGATCCCTTGGCTCTGGGAGGCTTAGTGGGGAGACCGGGAAGAGGTTGTTGTAATTATCCAGGTGAGAGATGGTGGCAGTTTGGTGCAGGGTAGTGACAGTGGACATGGGGAGAAGTGGTCAGACAGAAGAATATATTTTGAAGGTAGTGCTGTCAGGGTTTGGGGTGTATTGGATGTGGGGTGTGGGAGAAGGCAGATCCTCTCCATTCTTGGGTCCAGGTTCCCCCCTGACCCTTTCCTGAACTTGTGAGTGAGGGTGATCTTCTTCCAGAGACCACCGAAGGCGGCAGGAAACCATAACCCATGTGTTAGACCGCTAACCAGAAAGTCAGCAGTTCGAGAGCACCAGAGCTCCTTGGGAGAAAGATGAGACTTTCTCTTCCTGTAAAGAGTTAAAGCGTCAGAACCCCACAGGGGCAGTTCTTCTCTGTCCTATATGTTTGCTCTGGGTCAGAATTCACTTGCTGTCGTCGGTGAGTTGCGGCTGGCCCAGGGGAATGGTGGGCATGGGGAAATGCCGCTATCATGTGGGCTTTCCAGACACTGCTGCAGAGCGCAGCGTTCTGGGGACATCTACAAGCCACCCAGAAGGCCCTGCCTCCTCTACCCCACTTAGCCAAAGTGTGAGGGGAAGATTTGCTGAGAACCTGCTGAACCTGCTGAAGTTCCTCCAGCAGAGGCTCCGGGACAGATGATCTTACCGGCCAGTGATTGGCGCGCCCACCGTTGGGAGCTCTCGGACTTCCAAATGGACAAATAGCCTTTCCTAAGATCAGAACAGCCTCGGCAAAACGCTCCACCCTGCGAGTTCATGCATTGATTCGAAGAATCATTCCAAATATTGACTGAGCAGGTACTACGGGCCCAGCACTGAAGTCAGTGCGGGGGTGGGGGGGGTGTCGGGGTACATGGCAGGGGGTCCCTGTCCTCTGGCCAAGGGCAGAAGCAGGATAGACAGTCTGATACTTATTGTTCTTCTTTTCTTTCTTTTATTCATGCTTCTCCTCCTCCTCCTCCAACCCACCCCCCTTCCTTACCTCGAGGT